CCAAAAAGACGCAGCTATGGTCAGAAGACCCCAAGGGTGACATTGCGTAAGATTTATAGGCTAGTTCAAACATGACAGACGAGATATGAAGAACACATTTAGACAAATACGCACACACGCGGCTCCTGCTGTATGTCGCCGCAGCAAGGCAGCGCCATTTCTCAGATCATGCTGATTTAATCACAAACAATCAATTCAATTCAATTCAATCACATATATCAATTTTGGAAAAGCCCCCAAATTAAGCCCCCAAAAACATTATTATGGCACATTAGTAAAGCATTTAATAGAAATAACTATAGGTGTTATTACAAATCAATACATTGTTTTATTTCCAAATCTTCAGATATTTTTCCAAATACATGTCTTTATTCATTGAAGTTAAGGCGTTAAATTTACCAGCATTTGACACCAGAGCTGGGGTGGTCAGGCATTTTTGAGGGTGGCAGCAGCAAAGTGGGGGAGAGGGTGGGGGCTAGGACAGTATTTATTATTTTTAATAAGAATAATAATAAAATAATAATTAAAATAATCTACACCTCCACATGTTCAACTCAGTGTCTTTTTTTCACAGGTCAGTCTGCTCTCCCTGTGCTGCAGCGAGCAGCCGGCAGCAGCGCCGGTTTCAGCACCATACAGGCGTGGACCAGAACAAAAGGCGCAGGCTGCTGCAGCAGGAGAGAGGCGCACCGGGACGCAGCAAGACAACCAGAAATCACCGCAAATAAATCACAGCTTAACATAGATTTTTCTCACGCACAAATAATTTCAATGTCCAAATCCTCACTGAAAAGCTGTTGCAAACTCCCTGTCGAGATCATTTCATATCTCTTCACACATAACTGCACATCACACCATGACGCGCGCTCACACACACACACACACACAACCGCTGAGGATTAAATGACAGCAATGCCGGCATTAATACACACTTTGGCTTTTCTTCTAGAAACTTTTACAGCTGCCAGTGTTGCATTAAAAATGCTGAAACTCTACAGTCATGCTGGTTTGAGCAATCATAAAGCCTCATTTCCCCCAGTAAATGATAAACAAAGACCTTCAGCTCTTACCTGCAGGTTCAGGCTGCTGAGCGGCACTAATACCCTTGTGAGTGAGGAGAGCTGTAGTGACAATGAGAGCGGTATGGGGCCCTCTGATCCCTCCCCTTGCAAATGAAGCTACCGTAAGTGCAGGAGTGTATGCGCAACGGGATTATATGGCTGCAACATGCATGGCAGGCAAACCCTCCCTGTGATGATGTATGACATTTGTGCAACATCTTTGGAGTGTAAATGTGTAACACATGCACGGAAATAAACAGCTGTACACTGATACTGCCAGGCAGGACAGCCAGCAGGTGCAAAGGGAAGTGCAGAGTCATTGTTTCAAGAGCTTCTGCATCCCAACACCATACTGGGCTGCTTTGCTGAAAATGGGGATCCACTGTGTCCGCAGCAGAAATGAGTGCAGAGCTGGAGCACTGGGGTGTGGCTGTTGCTGAGGAAAGATGGAGAAGGGGAGAGAGAGAGAGGAGGAGGAGGAGAGGAAAGGGGATAACGTGGGATGTGATGCCAAGGGGAGAGTGGGTAGGAGGGGCAGGGAAAGGAAGGAGAGAGGAAACACAGAGGAAGGGGGAGAATGATAGGAGGAGAAAGGAAGGGAAGGGAAGGGAGGGGTAGAAGATGCATGAGTGAGCAGTAGCTGCACTCCTGCACCCCCCAGGTGAGGCGTGGTGGGGGTGTTGTCTGCTTCCTCAGCTGGCACTGATGGTTTTTTTTGGAGACTTTAAGCACCCGAGGCAGACTGGCATTCTGGGCATTTACAGGCACATGCACCAGATCCACAAGAATACATGGTAATGCAATGAAATAAAGGGTACATTTGTTGGAAATATGGTACTTATCATCCCCAACTGGAAACAGATAAGGCTGAAATTTTGAAAAGATGCTTTAAATCACCCAGTCACATTCAACAGTGTGCTTGTGCCTGCTGTATGTGCTGCAAAGGAATCAAATGGAAGTCTGGCCATTTGTCATCTCTCTGCCAGCTTTGTACATGGATGTACTGCCACCTAGTGATGGGAATGGGACAATGCAGAGTGGCAGCTGATGCTGTTTTACACGTTTTTCAATTGAATGCACCTTTATTAACAATCCACCCCTTCCCATCACATGCTTAGCTCACACTGTGACATACTCCCATCAAGTCTTATGCCAGTTCTCAGCTAAAATGGTCAAGAACTTTTAACATTCATATCCTTGTGAGGGTAAATGGTCCCCTTAAGTATTGAAAACAAAAGCAGAGATGCATGTACACATTGGATGGAATTTGAAAACATAGCACCATCTGCTTTCAAAAATCAACTCAAAAATGTTTAATTTGATATAAGATAATAATTAATATGTAATATGTCTCAAACATTCTCAATGGTTTGGTAAAACAGCCCATGATTCTAAATAAAAGTGGCGCGTAAAACATAGTGTATACTGTCTTTATTTGATTAAGGACGGTGTGGTAGGACATTTTCAGTGCTGACATAAAGGCACACAGATCTGAAAAATAAATTTCTTCTGTAGCTTCATATTGTACAATCTACCAACAAACACATTCACGTACAAAAATTAGTCCTTAGTGCACTTGAAACCTGTTATTTTTCAATCCACAGTGAGTTGTAAATAGACATAAAAATAGGTAAAAGTTTTAAAACACTTGATTAAGGAGCTTAATGAAGCCTTTTGGAAGCCTGTTGTCAAAATGTCGAGCCCTTTCCAATTACATCAGAATGCGAAATGCTAAAATGCAGCATAGCAGTAGAACAAGTCAGCCATGTCAGAGCAAAGCATGTCTAAAGTTTGCTCACATTAGCTAGCATTAGCCACAAGAGGCTACTGGTCATACTAGGCCAGGTATGGCTGCAGCTGCAAAACCCCTGAGTGTACTGAATTAGGTGAGTGCATTTGAAAGTGTTATTTCTTCTTTCAAAAGTTATCCCTCGACTGATTTGAAGAATTTAAGCACGATTAAACTACATTCTGTAATTCTTTGCATTACCTTTTCACGACCGCTCAACATACTTTAATCCATTTTCGGACAAACTGTCAACTACGAATAAACGTCTGTGCAAACCAACTAACTTTCCCCAGTGCTCCTCCACCATTGAAAACATCCCGATTTCTCACTTCTGGCTGACGATGCTGCGTGCAATGAGTTCTTTCATGATCTCATTGGTGCCTCCATAGATGGGCTGAACACGGGAGTCCACAAACGCCCTGAAAAGACAGCAACACAAGTTCAGCAACTTGTCTGAACCTGGAATACCTCATAAAAGTTACCCCTACCAACCCTCTTACACACTTACTTGGCAATGGGATATTCCCACATGTAGCCCCAGCCTCCATGGAGCTGCAGGCACTGAGTGGCCACCTTGTTCTGGAGGTCAGATGCCCTGAAGAAAAGACAAATTACATTAGCAAATGGCAGCAATGTGGCCTGTTGTTTGAAATTAGGTGCTAGTTGGAAGAACAAGTATAAGACACATTCTCACCAGAACTTGGCCATGGAAGCTGTGGAGGAGTCCAGGCGTTTCTCAGCGTGCAGCTGAAGGCAGTTATCTACGAATGCTCGGCCCACACAGATTTCAGTCTTCAGCTCTGCCAGCTTGTGCTGCACAGTCTGTGGAGTAAAAATAGATGCAATATTCATTCTCCTCAAGAAAAATTCTGATTCTTTGATGAAAATATCTAAAGCAGTAGCTGAATAAGACTTCAAACATTGGCTACCGGTCACAGCTAAAACAGCAACAACAAAACACTTTTCAATAAAAATGGTGTTATACAGACCTGCAGGTGAGCGACCGTCTTGCCGAAAGCCTTCCTCTGCAACACATAGTTCCGGGTTTCCTCAAACATGAACTCACAGCTTGCTATGGCCATGTCAGCAATCAACAGACGCTCCTACATCAAAAAATGATTTATGATCAAATGAACCGAAACGACACAATTACCTGATAAATAAAGCGAATAAAGACACTGAAACACTGAAACTTGTGCAACACTTGTGCAACACTTGTGCAAGCCGTGACAGCGCTCTGGCCTGTTAGTGCCTTGTTCTTTTTTTGCAGGTTAATGTAATTGGCAGGTGTTGGGCGGTCCACCTGGGCCCAATATTCCCAGTCACTATAAAAGCTGCCACTATAGCCTTCTCAGTATTTTTGTACTGTATCCATAGTATATTGTATACTATAATGTCACTTTAGTCTTGCTTCTCATTTGGGGATAATCATCCTCTAAGCATACCTTAAAACCTTGCGGGGCAAATTGCAGGCGTTAAGGGTTTTAAAATACCTTATTTGCCTCTATGAGCTCCAGTGGTGAGAAGGCAAAGCTCCAATAGCTAACGTGTTTTTAGGACACTGGCATGCTCCTGTCCCTTTCACTACATGCAGTTTTTTTTATCTCACGTTTTTTCCCTCTTCAACTCTCCCAGTTTGAAAACCTCTGTAATAAAAGGCATGAGAATGCTAAATGGCAAATTTCCCCTATGTTTCTTTCACCTGAGGCAGTTCATTCATCAGGTAGTAGAATCCCTTGTTTGGTTCCCCCAAGAGGGCATCAGCTGGGAGCCGCACATCCTCAAAGAACAGTTCAGCCGTGTCCTTTGGAAAGGAGAAAAAAAACAGTGAGACAACAGAGACAAAGTGTCCTGAGATCAACCGTTAGCGTGTCCTCTAGCAGGATGGCAGATTGATGCAAACACTGTCTCCCCAAGCCACTGAGCTCCAGTACCTGGGCCTTCAGACCGATCTTCTCCAACTTGCGTCCTTTCTGGAAGCCCTTCATGCCGTTCTCCACCAGGAACAGACTGATGCCGTGCGCCGCTGTCTTCGCCTCGCGGTTTGTCACGGCCACCACCACCACCAGGTCTGACATCCAGCCGTTCGTGATGAACACCTGAGACGGTAAATAGTTCAAACTGATGCAAAGATGCAATAAAAAGGCCGTTTTCGCTTTTATGACTCAGTACCTTGTTGCCATTGAGGATCCAGTCACTGCCATCCCTCTTGGCGTTCGTCCTCACACCTTGAAGATCACTGGAAAAAGTAAATAAACCTGACTGGTCATCAAAGCTAGACTCCATTTATTGTATACATGCTGCTGATTTCTTTGATGTTTCATCTACGCCTGAGTCCTGACCTGCCTGCTCCCGGCTCTGTCATGGCAATGGCGCCGATGCATTTCCCAGCAGTCATCTCAGGGATGAAGCGCTCAATCTGTTCCTTGCTACCGTAGTTGCTGATGTAGGGCATGACAATCTCAGAGTGCAAGGAGAAACCCGGGCCTGTGCAGTTGGAATACATTCTGGAGAAAAACAAAATCGCATTTAAAAAAGTAAGTGTAGTGGCAAATCTATACTGATTATAAATTCATAATGGTTCATGCATTAGCACTGTCTGTCCTTTAGCTAAGAACTCTTTAACTATGTGTAAGTAAGTATGTGTGCCATTTTCTGGTGACTTAGCAAAGAGATTAGAAAGCTAGATAAGAGAATATGTTTCTTTATTGATTCCCCGTAGGAGAAAATCAAATCAAACACAGCAGCATAGGTGAATGTAGTGTAAAAAGTATAGAGTACAATAAAGTACAATAGGAATATTATAAAATATAGTAAAAAATTATAATGAAAAATATATATACTATAAGCAATATGCAGTAAAATGGTGTGCAAAATATTTTGAGCAACCTTTGACTAAAAAACTGAACTGTACAAACAAACTGCACCTTAAAGATAAATAGTTTGTGCACTGTAGGTTGAAAGTTAAACCAGTCATACAGCTATGAAGAAACAGTTAGGCAGCTCAAAAACTGTGGATCAGTTAAAAGAGTCAAGAGTTGAGACTGTATGATTTCATTGTGTTTTTAATTTCAAAGTCAACTCACTGCTCCTCCCACGTGACTGCCGCAGAGAACAGGTCTCCTCCGATGCCACCGTGCTCCTCTGGTATCATTACTCCCAGCAGGCCTTGCTCGCCAGCCTTCTCCCACACCTCCCTGCTCACCTGGCCCACCTTCTCCCACCTGGAACAAGGAAAAAGGGATTGTAGTGAGGCAGGGAATAACTAAAAATAAAAGGTTTTGTGTCTTTGTGGTTGTTCTGAGCCTTTTGCTGGTCATTTTGAGACTCTTAGTGGTAATTTTGTGTCTTTTTATGTTTGCTAAATGCCCTTTTCTGGTCATTTCGAGCCTCCTTGTTGTCCTTTTGCCTTTTTTTTTTAGTAGTCCGATTGACTTTGCAACAATAAATGCTAACAGGGATCTCAAACAGAGATTCCACTTACTCCTTGTGGTTTGGGATCACTTCATCTTGATAGAAGCGGCGGACACTTTGTCTGAAGAGATCATGGTCTTCGGTTAAGATCCGGCGGGTGCCGATGTCCATCAGGCTTTTAGCACTGGAGGTCTCCGGACGGGCCGAGGGGACAGGCTGCTGCTGGGCTTGACTGTGCTGTAGCCTGGAAGGAGTTGCAGAAATTCAACCAATCATACTCTCCTGGAAAGCCAGCAAGTGGCTGATTTGGCAAATAAATTGACATTGGTAAAGCAACAGGGGATTATGGGTGATCAGTGTGATATTCATTTTAAGAAGCTACCATAAGCATAAAAATTAGGGCTGAAACTACTATTTTCATTATCCTTATCTGTCGATATTTTTCCTGTTTTATCATTTCGTCCATGAAATAACAAACCCTGTAAGCTGGAGCCTGGAAAAAGTTTACTTTTACATAATTGTACCAGAATAATAACTGTAAAAAAAAAAAATTAAATAAAAAAACACACACACTGCAACTTTCTTAAAGACAATAAATTAAGATATTTAAAAACACGTTCATATACTGACACTGAATATCTGGAAGTGTGTCAAAGGTCGTGTACGGACAACACGTCGATTACAATACTATTATCTGAGCGTATAGCAGCAGCAGCCTGTAAATAATACACATAACACATTCAAATCACTAATGAATCAAACAAATGCATCCATTTAAACAAAATATGACTTAAACATTCAAACTATTTACGCTATAAGTTTACCTTGCAGTGGCCGCAGACAGCACCTGTCGTCGTCCGGAGACATTTCTCAGGCTTAAAAGACAAGTTTTGATCATTTTTTTGTGAGTAAAAACTGCAACAAACTATCACGGAAAAAGACACAAGCAAACGTGACAAAGATCGTGACGTGAACGCTCCTGTAAAGACGTATCACTTTGTTGTGAGTCACTGGCTCCACCCCCGCGAAAAAAAGTACGTTTTAATCATTAACATATGCTCTGGGTCGCA